GCAGTTTTGCCTCACTCGTTTCCTAGTAACAAGAAGCTACTAGTAACAAGGGCCTTACTACTAGTAACAAGAAGCTAGTAGTAACAAGTGCCACGCTACTAGTAACAAGTGCATCGCTTCTAGTAACAAGTGCCTTGCTACTAGTAACAAGAAGCGAACGTAGAAACAAACATAGGAATTTGAATGTCTCCCCATGCTTCCACCGGCGAAGGCCAGCTGTTTGAGAACAAGAGTGCTGTCCTGATGAGTCCGGCAGCGTTCTTTCCGGATTTTGCAACGTCATCTTCAACTGAAAGAGATCATTGCCGGGTTCTTCAATCTAATTAAATTCTGGCTAGTTCGGTCAATATATGTCCGCCAAGTGAGAGGTTCAAGAACATGCCAAACTCTTCAGGTGTTTGTGTGGTCGATATAGAAGCTCTCCGAATCAGCAGAGGATTGATTCCAGGATCAAGAAAGTAGCCATGAACAGGAACAGTGTGGGCCCATTGCATGGATGCCCTATCTGCACCAATGACATTAGTGGTACAGCACATATCGAAGTGAAACATAGTCCGCATAACAAAATACACCTGAGAGATGGATTGTTATCAAGTGCCACTATCACTGAACAAATGGCGGGTTCAGTTTCAAACCTCTCTGTGTTCACGTGACATGCACACAAACCTCGTGTCTTCATAGCAAATTATGCCTTTCTAATTGCCTTTTCAACCAATCGCCAACTATCTTGTCTTGAAGCACCTTTTGCATTGAAATGTTTTCCATGCTAAGTCAAGGTTTTGAAGTGGCGACTTTTCCCGAACAAACGACGACTGTTGCCGGCAACCTCTGTAAAAGCATTTTTAAAAACGGCACTTTTGAAATGAAACGACACTTTTATTGGCAAGGCAAGGCAAACTGCAAACCGTGGGCTGCTTCGCCACAACGGCAGAAACAAAAAAAGAAGGAACGTGGAGGGTCCAAAGGTAGAAGTACTGCTGCCCTGGAGGTCGATCCAAAATAAGTTACACTATGTTACACACAAACCACAACGCAAACCGTGTCCGAAAGGATCTTCACTCTCAAATTGAAGTTCCTGTTCCATACGACAGGCCAGTGCACCAATGATACACACATTTCATAACCCAAAGAATCCATATGAATCCATGTATGGCATATTTAATTACATACATCGGGGGTCCTTTCAGGGGTCAATGTAGGTAAATGATTGATGTCTTGGTGAAGTATGGTAAAGTAGATGCAAGTGTGGCAAATACGAGCTGGAATCCTCTCATCCAAATCCGCAAACCATTGAAACAGGGTCCTGTATTTGGGCGGTGGAGATCCTCGAATCGGCCCTGCCCCTGCCCTGCGCCTTGAAGAAGGAGCACCTCGGAGGGGCCGGTGACCCTTCTCCCCAGAACTCTTCGAGTGAGCTGACGTGGGAGAACAAAATCATACAGATGCGTAAATAGTCAACATTAACCATTCATGTCAGCAAAAAATCATGTGCGGATCACTTCAGTGAACCGTCCTTCTTTACCTTTTCACAGAGCCGACCGGGACGGACCGTGCCTTCCTCTAAGCCACCCCACGCTCGACCAACCCGTCCGACGCGGATGGAGCGGGTTCGCTGGGGCGACCTGGACCGAGGAGCGGCAGTCGGTGGATCTGAAGACAAAGATCTTGAGTGAATGTTGAAGATATGTGGGTTTAGGGTTTAGGGTTTAGGAAACGAGATGCTTTCATGTGCTTTGAGCTTTGTTTTTCGAGTGCGGCAAGTGAATGCAAGAGATGCTTTCATGGTGAAACATGTTCTTCAGATATCTGAAGATATACTGAAGTCATTCTTGGGATGGGCCCACGGGTATTCCTGGTCAGCGAATTGCGCAGTCATAGAGCACTTCCCTCTACCCACACAACAAGATCGTATACCTAAGACAATCAGAGACAAACGATCACAAACGTAATTAACTAAAAACATCTAAAAGAAAGGAATTCGGAATCACTCTATATTCTCAAGAAAGATGGCTGATGTTGTATCTCTCATCTAAATCATCTGTCATCAAGAATCTTCCTCATGCAGCTCGCTTCCCGCCTGAGAGGCCGGTTTTTTTTGTCCGCCCGATCGGCCGGGTTCGTGCGTCGGCCACCTGCGGGCACAGGAGATGCACTGCTTCATGAAGTGAGTATTGGGTATAGATACCAGCATCAGTGTGGAGTGTGGCTGGAGATCTGGCTGGATGTTTTGTCAGTAGTTCAGCTGGGGAGATGTAAGTCATAGATTCATAGTCTGATTACTTATGACGTTGAGAATCTTTGATGACAGCACTCTGATCTAAAAGGTTGTCATCAAACTCTTAGCTTCCCTACAGGAGTCTTGACTACACCCCTGCAACCCTAAAAGAACTCATTAAATGCACAAAAACAACTCAACAAGTCCAGTCGATCCTCGCTGGTTGACGTGTCCTTCTCAAAAAATGGATACCTGCTCAATCGCCATGATGAGAAACCCGAACCCTGCGCACATGTCCAACATGTTCAACAACTAAGGCTTTTGAGGGGCAGCTGCGTTTGGAACCAAAACCACATCAATCAACGGGGAACTAATCTCATCGGTGCGTATCGGCCTTCTCACCTTCTGACCTGCTCAGTCGACGAAATCCGTCAGTGAAACTGCGGCAATCCCTTCCTCGATAACACAGAAACTCGTTTGGATCTAGCCCAAGTGGCTGAAAATTGGGCCAATGAACAAAGCACTGTCAAAGTTCTCAGAATCACATGACACAAATATACAAACCTTAATTACTATAAATAACCAATTGTAACCAAATCTACCTGCAAATGCGCAGCTCAAATAGGGACACCGACACGTAACGACGCCCACGTTCCGACCTTCCTGGGTGGTTCGGAACATGGTCGACCAGTTCTAGTAGCGAACCTTGTTCCTATTTAAACACAAATCGTCTCGAGAACGCAATTTAACTGCATGTTCCAAAACGACGGCCTCAGCAACTGCCTCTCCGCTCCCGCCACCAAACGGCAGGCCGGCTAGAGGTCCGACTCCTAGTCCCAAATAATATGGTTGCTTAATCAAGGCACCTACGACCGAAAAATACAGGATCACCGAACTCGGAAAGCAGCCATCTCTGACTGACCCAATTCGCCCGCCATTTCTTCTGTACCACTCCACCGGAAGGCGAGCCTGATGTGAGTGAAGGGGCATGGGTAAAGATGCCATGGCGAAGCGTGGCCCCCCCCGGTGCCTGCAAAGAAGACAAACGTCAATCAGAGTCATAGACTATAGTCATAGCTTGGGCAAGTCTGACGGAGAGGCTCATTCTTTTGACAGATCTCATAGTGTGCTCACTGATGTTTGTCATGTGTTTGGCTGCGCGTTTTGCCGGTCTCTTTTCTCTAGGTTCTAGACAGGGGATTCTATTGCATTGAGTCAAACTCTCTCATTTGAGTCTTTCCAGAGCGAAAAGCTCTGAGCTCTTCGGTTGGTCAAGTTGAAGATCATGTGAGCCTCAAACCATCTTGAGAGGATTGAGGAAGAGACCCAGCAAACCTTTGGCCAACAAAAAGATGTTTAAGTTTATATAAACAAAGATTTAAAGGGTATAGGAACCCCAATGATGCCCATATCAACCTTTGACAGCTTCCTTTTTTTGGCAAGTCTCGACGTACTTGAAAGAACAGAGCTTCACTCACCTGTGTGTTGATCGAATCAATGAAGTGGTTGACTCATTGTCATCAAAGGAGGGTGTTGTTTACGTTTAGAGTACAACCTGTCATCAAACAGCCTAGAAACATCTCCACCTTTCTTCATGCCCATCTCCCACACCAACTCTCATTCCACATCCTACCAACATCCATGACCGCACGACCCATCTTTTTGGTTCTTCTCGGTCTGATGGCCGGACTCTGCGTGTTCGATGAGATGCACCGCTGGGATCCTCCGTTTGACCCACTTAGATCGAAACATTTCAAAACGTATTGGACAAGCAAAGAACAAGTGAAGTTTCTTGTTTCTAATTGCAAACATTGTTACTACTAGTAAGGCACTTGTTACTAGTAGCGATGCACTTGTTCCTAGCAGCTTCTTGTTTTGGAAACTGTGCCACTAGTTGTTACTTGTAGCTATACTTGCTAGTATGGCCAGGAGCCCCGTGAGGAAGGCGCTCTTGCTCCGTTCGTAGCGATGCTCTTTAAAGCTTTGTTAGTAGCTTCTTGTTACTAGCTACTTATCTGATTGGGGACCACTAAAAACCCAAAGACGAGTCCATGGACCCTGTTTGAGACACATCAAACCGGTGCAGCCATTGAAAAACAGCCTTGGGTGCAAGACCACAGGGCCCCGCAAGTTTTCGGGAAATTCATCCACCGATGGCGAACCTAGATTCGCGAACCAATGACAAACCGTGCCTATTATTGTTACTAGTAGTAAGGCACTTGTTACTAGTAGCGATGCA